ACAAGCTGAGCACAAGCAAAGGGAGTCCGAGCTGGAGGCCCTGGGGTCTGGGGCAGAATCCAGGAGCCTTCCGCCGGCGCGCCGTGCCGAGCGGGGCCCTTTGGGGGCACGGCCAGGCCCTTCCAGCGCGGTCCCTGGAGGTGGCTCCTCGCAGGACAGGGCAACCTGGCTCCCCCCCTCCGCCTCCGCCGCGGCTGCAGCTCCGTCTTCTCCTGCACCTCAACGTGCGCGCCAGGCGGCAGCCCCCGGTCCTCAGCGCAAACTTTTCTGTCGCTCGCGCTGTGCCTTGTGCCCCCCGCCTCCCCTTAATCCAGGGCTTTTATGGGCTGCGCGTTCAGAACATTCGCCTGCAATTTGGGATTAGACAAACACTCTGATTACACTCGCGCGCGGAAAGGGGCCAGTGCTACTTGATACCTTCGCCCTTCCCGAGCCTGGATCCCATCCTGTGGCGCTGAGCAGGGGCGCGGAGAGCCGGGGAGGGCCAGGCGGACATTCCTATGGAGCCAAGCACCCAAATGCTTCGCCTCCATCTGCCCCTGTGCATGACGAAACCCTCTGGACGAATAACCAGGAGCTGATTTTGCGGGGGGGGGGGGGAGGGGAGGGATATAGCTAATAATATTGTATTTCTGGCAAGGGGCTTGATTGGAGTCTGGCGAGGCTCCTTCTGCCAGGGCAAGCGCGTTGGAGATCAGCCCTTCCTTGTTCAAAACTGGCCCCAAACTCATTGTCTGCAGCTCTGGGACAAAGGTTCAGGTGCCTGAGCGCAGCTCGCCCCCTGGGCGGACAATGGCAAAGGTAGGGACCTGGGGGAGGGGTGTCCCCAGTCAGCCCTTTACTTTTTTTATGAATGGGCTGCGGCGCCTTTGTTCCGCGGAGAAGTGCCCGTGTCGCTGACTTTTGTGGACTATAGAAAGATCTTGTAAACCTCCTTTTCTTTCGTCCGCCCCCCCCTCCTCCTTTGATTAGATGTCCCCTCATCGCCCGAAAAAATGTAATTTCGTTGGGCCGGCGGTCACTTCCTTTGAACATTAGCTCGCTTTCAGCTCCAACTTCAATTAGAAGGAGTTGATTTGGAGAGATCAACAAAAGACCCGCACCAAAGCCTTATTAAAGGTCCTAAGCAGATCTCCTGGATCCTTTGAGAAGCAGTTAAGGAAACAGTGTGCATCCATGATATTCTGTTACCGTATTTTATTGGGACGCCAAAGGAAAGTGTCTCGTGAAAAACACTCACTTTGATGCCCGGCCGCGTTTAATTTATTTTGCTGGCAACGAGTTGATTTTTTTTTTTTGCATTTTATTATTATTACCCCTTTTCAGCTTCCCCTTTGTGTTATTAGACATTCTCCTGGTAAACTACAAAAAAAAGAGAGTAATTCTTAGGAGGGGATTAGGGCCCTTCGTTAATATTTATGAGCTGGTACAACTTAAACCTATATATGGATAGATAATTGTGTGGCCTAGAGTTTGGAGAGAAAAGACAAAGTTGATGGTCACCAATGGCCATTTCTGCCACTTCCTTCGTTTTGTGAAAACAATCGGCGCGTTTCAAGTCAAGGCTTTAACCGATCTTCAGCAACTGACAATTTTAATGTTTCAGAAACGGGGGGAGCGAAAAACCATCCCAGGCCAGGCCAAATCGCAAACCCCTTTTCTCCGAGCCTAGGTCCTACCCAAACACAAACGGGAACGAAAGGTACGGTTTTAAGCGCCTGGCCAGGGGAAGACCAGCCATTCCGTCGGCGTGAATATACATTTCTGTGCACATGTAACGAGTGTGTCAGGCAAGAGCGTACGAAAAACGGGAGGTGCAAACTTTAGGAGACTGAGTGGGGGTTGCAGAGAAAAAGCCGAGCTCGGGGAGGACTGGGAAAGCTTCCTCCAAACAAGAAGGAAATCGCTCCCCATCGTCAGTGGCCAGGCACGGAGATCTCGCCCCTTTACACACTTAGTTCGGGGTTTCTCGCTGCAGGTCTGGGTTCAGGGGGCACTTGCACGCGCAAATACAACCCGACGCGCACACGCAGCCATTAAACGTGCAAAAGTTCGCCCTGGGCGCAGGGCCAGCCAGGGCGCAAGGGGGGCCGGCCGGCCGGCCTCGGGCCTCTGCCCGCCGCCAGCGGAGCTCATCGGGCTTCGCTTGGGATTGTCCCCGCACTCGGACGGGGTTTGTCTGGGGCGTGGGCCGGGAGCGGACCCGGAGCGCGGCTCAGCGCACGGGGGCTGGGCGCGGGAGGGCTGCACGAGGCGCCCCAGCGGCAGGCGCCTGCCCTGGGGGAGCCGGTGCGCGCGGCGGGGCTGGGGTGGAGTGGGGAGCTGGGGAGAGGGGGGGGGCGTGCAGAGGTAACCCGCATCCAGCGCTGCCATTGCCCAGGCGGCTGTCAGTCAGGCGCGGGGCGGCCGCGGATTGGCGCCGGGGCTGGTTACGCACTCGCCTCGCGCTCACATACAAGGGTAGGGCAGTGGAAAGGTGATCAATCTTCATCAGGCTACATTTCCAATCACCTACGCGCCTGGGCGAGACCGCTCCTGCCACAAGGTAAACGCGCTTCCTTGAGTCCCGGGCTCCCCCTGCTGCCCTGGGCTCCGCGCGCCGCGACCCCCCCCCCCGGCCTCGCCCCCACCGCTCCCTTCGCCGCGGCCAGAAGTTAGCGCCGGCTGCACAAGAAAGTCAAGGGAGCAGCCCCCGCCCCGAGTGGCAGCGCCGGGCAGGGGGGAGCCAGCTGCGATCCCCGGGTCCCGGCGCTGCTGGCCGGGGAGCCGAGCTGGGACCCTTTGGGGCATTGCACGGGGAGCTGCTGGGCAGGTGAGGCGGAGGCGCCCGGCTCCTGTTCGCTCTGCCCCGGCGCTACGGGCTGCACCGAGCGCCCCACGCCCGGGACCTGGTGGGGGGCAGTGGCGCCGCCCCGGCCCCTCTGCTCTGCCTGGGACCCTGTGGGCAGCGGCGGAGCTCGGCCCGTTGAGGAGCCTGGGCGAGGCGCTAAGTGCTGCCCCCTTCTCCCCGCCAGACTTTGCAACTCCCCTGCAAAGTGGCGGAGCCCGCTCGCTCAGGGCAGCCCGGCAGGGTCCCGCGCGGCGGTGGCGAAGCCCCGGACTTGGGGGGTATTGGGGTTTTGGGCTCTTTGATTTTGTTTTAGCTGAAGGTGAGCGGCCCCCCCTCACCCCCTGGCTCGTAGCCTCCTCCAGCGCCTCGCCTCGCCTCACCCCTCCCTGGGATGGTGACACTGCAGGGCTGGCAAACAAACTTACATAATGACTGCCTGGGCCAGATCACTCCAGGCTCAGCGCTGCACATTTCCAGGAGCCACTCCGACGGCATCTGCTCGGAGGAAAGCGCTGGCTTCTCGTGCCGGGTGGGCCTGGCCTGGGCTAACGTGCTGGCTTCAGTGGTCCATTTCCAAGCCACGGATCCGCTTTCGAGCCATCTCTCTCTCTGGTGCCGGGGCGCCTCCGTTTACATGGCGTGATCTTAATTCCTTCGGATGTAGAGGCGCGGGTGCTTACGCTTAGGGGGTCTCTGGGAGGCTAGATCGGCCTCGTTCAACGCCCCCTGGCCTGAGGGGTTAGGACACTTTGCAATGAGGACCCGGTCCTGTCGGGAAAGAGAGAATATACGGAAAAGTAAAGATAGGCCTCTTTGGAAACCTCCTGTAAACGTATCTGTGCCATTCGCTTATTCCAAGCTGCTAACTCAACCGGATGTATTTAATTTCCACACAGAACTAGAGGGGCTCCCAGCTGTCCAGTGCAACAGGTTAGCCTGGGAGCTGGAAGACAGAGGTGCTGGAGCGAGGGGTGCGGGGGGTGTCTGCTTGAAGTGCTTTCCATCCGACACAGAGTTCACACTTTGGTGCACTGGCTCGCTGCACCCCCACGATACCAATCGTCCCAGCACCCCTGGAGGATGCAAATTTAATTTGGAAATAGTCTTACCAGCGAAAACAAACAGCCCCCCCTTTAATCATTCTGGTGTAAATACAGGAAACTCAGCTGGAGACAACATGGCCCTCAACGCAATTAAAGTTTCTAGCTAGTGATTAATCGTGATTAGAGCCGCCACCATCTGTTGCTGGGTTTAGGATTTTATTTATTTGGTTTGTCTAGTCTAATTTTTCTCGCGGGGTAATGTGGGTTCTTGGGTGTCTGTGGATAGCGGAGAGATTCCTGGGTTTGGAGACGGGATCAAGGTTGTGGATTTTACCTGGAGTCCTCGCTCCGAGACACAAACAAATGCATTCCAGCTCTCGGGATCTCCGCGATAAATTCTTTGCGTCAGGGGAATGCTGGAGAACAGCAAAAAAAACCAAACAAACCCCAAAACAAAAACTGAATTTTCAGGAAAACGAGAGGCGAAGTGTCCGAGTTTGCACTTCTCAGCGCCTGTAATGGCACCCAGCAAGACATGGCAGGAAAGAAACTCTGGCAATTTCTCGTTTTATTTATTTAGAATAAAATCGCTAGTGAGAGACCGTGAAAACTACCCCCCCACCCACACACACACGTCGTGCCTTTCGGTAAATTTGTTTCCGTCACCCCTACGGGAGGAACCTCCTGGAATATGAATTTCAAAGTGACTAAAAATCGGTTCGTTTTTTAACTACTGGCCATTTCTAATTAAAATGTCCCCTTCTGCTCGCTCTTAAATTAATTATACGTCCCCCTTTTGGTATCTCGTTTTGATTTCTAATCCAATTATCTTTTTAAATAATTGCTTTATCTCCCCCCATCACTTGGATTGTGCCCCCCTCCAAGCCCCACGGCGATTGTATGTTAATGTGGCTGCTTAAAAAACTCCCCTCTTTCTCCCCCACTCCCCCTCTGGCACTTTCTTATTCCCCTTCGTTTGGGAGGGGTCGTCCATATTGATTGCCCCCCGCCCTCTTTTCTACATGCGCAAAAGCTTTAAAACAATAATAACGGACAACGAAAAGGGGTGAAACTTTCGTTCAAATTAAAATCGAAATAAAGCCCCGTTTGCAGTGAGCAGGGGGCTTTTCAGACTGCGCTGCTGTGCGCGTGCGCCTCTCTCTCTGCACCCCAAACGATTTCATTTAATGCACGAAAAATAGTTCCAACGTCCCTACGCTTTCGATTATTTGCAATTGTGTTTTTTGTTTTTAATTGTATTTCTTAGCGCTTGATCTGCGCTGCTCTGGTCTGGCTATAAAACTCCGAATCCCAACTGTTTGCGTTGTGCCCTGGAAGCGACCTGGCTTGTCGATTCCGCTCCGAAGAGCTGCTGATGTTGGTCTTGTTTTGTGGTGTTGTTTTTTTGTTTATTTCTTTTAGGGAGCGGTGAGTCTCTTCTGCGCCCGGATTTTCTGCTGTCGCCTGGAAGAACCAATTTTGTGACTTCGAGAAATTGTAGACAGACTTTTTATATATATATATAAATTGGGGAAAATCCTTCCAGCTTTTAGCATGATGTCTTACCTCAAACAGCCCCCCTATGGCATGAATGGGCTGGGGCTGACCGGACCGGCTATGGACTTACTGCACCCCTCCGTGGGCTATCCGGGTGAGCATCCAACCTCTTTAATGTCCACCTCCACCCCATTTGCCCCTCTACCAGTCAGGTTCCACTGCTCAACTGGGACAAGTTTGTACCAAGTCACTTTTCTCCTGTCTTGTTGTAACGAAGATGAGAGCAATGGGATATTTCTTCCACTCCAAGACTGTAATTTTTTCAAAAATACCTGGGTACATTTTGAAAAAAGATTTAAAAGAACAAAATCTGCTCGTTAGCTCCTTTTTTAAAGTCATTTTTACTCTCAAAATTAACTTGGGCGAGAATCAACAGGATTTCAATAGAGAAATCTCCTTCCCGCAACAACGAAATAGCTTTTGTACGATCAGATAAGAAGTTTGGAAAGTTTAAATTTCTGTTTAATTCATGTGCTTTTTTTAACAGTGGGAAACTACTTAGAATCGTTAACTTTATTTTAAAAAAATAATGTAATGAAACTTGTACCAAACTCCACAGAGGCGCTGCCCCGTGTTCCCAGCTCGGCCTGTTCCTAACTTGTGTGTTATGATTCTCCCCCGTTCGAATTTTTTTTTCTTCCCTGGATTGTAATTTAAACACACAAACAAACCCTGAAAACTCCCCTCCGGGGCCTTGCGGGGACCGTTGTGCAATGGCTTTGTGTATGGATTAGGGGTCGGGGAGTCCGCAATCCGTTTTGCGTTCCCCGCCGGATTTTGCCTCGTCAGTTTCACTTCGGCCTCAACTTTTGGAGCCCAGTTGCTTGCTCGCAGTTCCGCCCCTGTCTCCCGCCTCTTTTAAAAAAAATCTTCTTCGGAATCTCCCTTCCACATCCTAATGCCAGGAAGCCTGGCTTCTGGGGAGCGTTGAAACGCTCCATAAATACACTTGGTCTAACTATAACCTGTACATTTTGCTGGGAGGGAGGGATGGAGGGTAGTTGTTTCTCTGATATTAAACGAAGTTGGAAATGAAATACGGGTTATTTCCCTCCCGGCTCCCCTCCCACGCACCGATGTCTTTTCTTGGAATGCTTGGGTGTGACCACCCCCCCCCCCCGCCCTGCGAACACCCCGATCTGTAGCAAGGGGCTTTCAGGGCCCGTCCCGGGGGGTTTACAATCGGGGGTGGGGTGCAGCCCAGCCTGCTGCTGCTGGGGGGGCGACCCGAGTGGGGGGTCTGTGTGTCTAACCCGCTTGTCTCTCTCTCTCTCTCTCTCCCGGGTCCTGCAGCCACCCCTCGGAAGCAGCGGCGGGAGCGCACCACCTTCACCCGCTCGCAACTCGATGTGCTGGAGGCGCTCTTCGCCAAGACCCGCTACCCGGACATCTTCATGCGAGAGGAGGTGGCGCTGAAGATCAACCTGCCCGAGTCCAGAGTCCAGGTCCGGTACCGTCTCTCCCGCCGCGGGGCCAGCAGCTCTCCGGCCCGGGCCCCCTGTGCCGATCCGCTCCGGCAATGGCCAGCTTAGAGGCGGGGAGGACACGTTCAGGCCCTAAATCCAGCACCCGGACGGGCAGGGACTGACCAGACCCACCCCCGAACAGCTCCCAGCGCGGCCTGCCCTTCCTACCCTGCTTCGGGTGGGGGGCTCCAGCCTGAGACCCGCTTCAGCTCCCAGACTGCTCCGGGTGGACTGGGAGGTGGCGGGGACAGCCGCGCTCCCCTGTCCGGAGCAGGTGAATGCTGGCGCCCCGCACTGGGCCGGCTGTCGGGGAAGTCGAGCCACGGCGCTTGCTGGCCCTTGTGCGCCGCTGAGTTTGCGCGGAAGCTCAGCGCCGCTGGCTGGGGCGAGGCGGAGCCGGGGTGGATCATTCAGGCCTAGAAGGGAGATTTTTATTCCCGGCTTTTGGAGGGTTTCCCCGGCTCTGCTCTCCAGCGGGTCCCAGCAACCCGCCCTGGGGCCGATTGCTGCCCCTGCCTAGCCCAGGCGGGGAACAGGCCCCGCTGTGGCGTCAGGCTCCGCTGCCGCGCAGCGCCCTGCCCGATGCCGGGGCGACAGGCGCCACCCCGATTTATAATGGGAAATCAGGCCGCGCGGGCGGGAGCCCCCCGGAGAGGGGAGCTCCCAGCCTGCTCAGGGTGTCCCCTCGCGGTGGAAACGCCCGGGCCAGGGCAGCCTGGGTTCCGGAGCGTCATTGACGGAGTAAAGGCAAATCCTGTCCCGTGCGCCCCCAGCAGCGCGGGCTCCCTGTGCCTGTGCAGGTGGGGGCGGAGGGCAGCCCTGGTGATGGGGATCCAGGAGTAGTTACCCCGGACACCCCCCTGGAGCGGCACCGGCCCTCCCCCGCATCTCGCCATAGGCCCCCCGGTCAGCCCGGCCCTGGTGACTTCCTGGGCCGCTCCCCGCCCCAGGCTGCAGCATCGAGCTAGGCGCTTCGCCTCCTGGGGATGGGGTGTGGAGGATGCTTTAAAAACCACCTCCCGGGCCCGGGTGAGGGGCCAGCCGCGCGCCCGGCCCGGGACACGTGGGTGTGGGGCAGGGGGCAGAGCCCGCAGCCAGCTGAACGGGAGGGGGTGGGGGCGCCCGCAGAAATGGCCCCTCCGGCCCGGGGGAGGTGGCAGGAGAGGGAGGAGGCGGGGCTGTCACCTGGCCACGGGAGCTCCACGTGCGGCCTCCCTGGCACCGCGTTTGGTCCGGATCCCAGCACCAGGGCAGGGACAGAGGCAAACTCCGCCACCGGGACTGCAGTTACCCCACCGCCACCAGACAGACACCACCACAGGCCTTCCGGACAGACAGTGTGGGGCCGGGCTGCCCCCCGCGTGCCCCTCTCCCTAGCAGGCTGGGGGCTAGTTCTGTCCTGGGCCCCTAGCCTGAGCGGGGAAGGGGGCCGTGCTCTGCCTGTCTCGCGTGGGGCTGGGTTTTCTAGGCTCAGTGAGGTCCTCTTTGCTGCGCCCCAAGCCCCTGGGGGAGGGGGGGGACACGGGTGGGGGTTGTGCTGGAATCCCTCGGGTGTTGGTCACTATGTCTCTGCTCGGTGCTGTCCCCCTCGCCATGGAGCGGGGCTGCTCTGCTGGGTGCTGATCCCATTGGGCCCCTTTCTCTAGGGACGAATGGGGGTGCTCGGCGCTGCAGCGGGTAGGGAGGGCTCTAGTGGGGGGAGCTGGATGCTGGGCCCCTCTCCCTTGAGGAGGTGGGTGTTGTGCTGGGGTGGAGCGGAAGGCGGCTGGGGGCGGGGGCTGGATTGATCAGGACCCAGCAGGTGTTTCCCTCCTTTGCAGCTGTGCGGGGAGATAGCTGGCAGAATTGGGCGCTGGGCCCCTCTTCCTGGGGGATATTGCGGGGGAGGGAGGGAGGGAAGCTGGATGCTGATCACTCCGTGCTCCCCGCAGGCTGGGTGCAGTCTTAGTCGTTGCGGGGGAGGTCATTGCTCTGGGCGCCTTTGCAGGCTGGGAGCAGGGGTGGCGGAGCTGGGGGCTGTTTCGGGGAACGGGTGGAGGCGCTGGCTGCGGGCAGGGCACTGCACTGTGTGCTGATGGCTCCCGACTCCCTTCTCGGCTAGGTGCTGGGTGGGGAAGCAGGGTGCTGGGGGCCGCGGGAGTGCTGGGCACTGATGGGGCCGGTTTGCCCTGTGGGCTGGGGGGGTGGGGTACGGCTCTGGAGGATGGAGGGGAGAGCAGGGGCTAGTGCAGAGGTGAGCTGCCGGGGAGTGGGTAGGCTGGTTGCCGATGGGTTTGTTCTTCCTTGCAGGGTGGGTGGGGTATAATGGAGGCGGCCCTGGGTGCCGAGGGCTTCAGTCTCCTTTGCAGGTGGGGCGCTGGCTGCTCTGCTGGGGAGGCCAGGGGGAAGCAGGTGCTGAGGGCTCTGCCCTCCCTGCTAGGCCCGGGGGTGGGTGGAGAAGCTGGGTGTTGAGCGGGGTTTAGTTTGGAAGCCGGCTAACTGCAGGGGAGCTGCGGGTAGTGGGGAAACTGGACCCTAACTTTGTTTCCCCTTGTGGGTGCAGGTTGGGTGCTGGGCATAGGCGTTGGTTGGCAGGGATAGTGGAGCTGGCAGTTAATGGCTCATCTCTCTTTGCAAGCAGGGGGATGGGTCCTGTGTGAGTCTTATGGCTGGGGGTGCAGGGTGAGGCGTAGTGTGGGAGCCTGGGGGTGGAGTTGGGGTACAGGGGAGGTAGGTGCTGGTGCTCCTCGGACTTGCAGCTGGTGGATGGGTGTGAGCGTTGGGAGTCATGGCTACGGGTGGTTGGATGTGGATGGGTGCTGGGGGGACTTTGTGTCAGTGGATGGGTGCGGGTGCTGGAGGGACTGGGTACCAGTGAATTGCTATGAGCACCCAGGGCTGGCTTGCGTGCTGGTGAATGTCTGAGGGTGCTGATGGCTGAAGGAGGTACTGGTGGATAGTTCTGGGTGCTGGGTGCCCGAGGATGGCTATGGGCTGTTTTGGGTGCTGGTGGAGGGCTATGCAAGCCAGGAGCTGTCTGGGGTTCCAGTGGGTGACTATGGGTGTTGGTTGGGGTGCTTGGGTGCTGGTGGGTGGATATGGATGCTCGGGGACTGGATGTTAGTGACTCTAGATGCTGGGTGAAATGGGTGCCAGTAGCTGGCTATGGGAATAATGGCTGTTCAGGGTGCTTGGAGCTGGGTGCTGGGGGGAAGGCTGTGGTGCTATGGGAAATGGGTGCTGCTCGCTATTCAGGGTGCATGAGGGCTAGGGGATACCTCTGGGTGCTAGGAGAAGTGGCTGTTTGGGGTGCTCGAGGATTGGCTACAGGTGCTGGGGGGCTGGGTGCCAGCAGATGGCTATGGATGCTGGGGGCCAGTGCTAGGTGCTGGCTACAGGTGCTGGGGGAAGTGGGGGCCGGCTTTGGGGGCTGGGGGAAGTGGGTGCCGGGGGCCGGCTGCTGACGGCTCGCTCTCCCCGCAGGTCTGGTTCAAGAACCGTCGGGCCAAGTGCCGGCAGCAGCAGCAGAGCGGCGGCGGGGCCAAGAGCCGGCCGGCCAAGAAGAAGCCGTCCCCGGCGCGGGAGAGTTCGGGCTCGGAGAGCAGCGGCCAGTTCACGCCCCCCGCCGTCTCCAGCTCCGGCTCGTCGTCCTCCTCCAGCTCCAGCTCCTCCGGCAGCGCGGCGGCGGCGCTGGGCAACCCCGCGGCGGCGACCGCCTCCATCAGCGCCCCGGCCTCGTCCATCTGGAGCCCGGCCTCCATCTCCCCGGGCGCCGCGCCCTCGGCCGTGTCGGTGCCGGAGCCGCTGCCGCCCGGCGGCGCGTCCTGCATGCAGCGCTCGGTGGCCGGCGCCTCCTCCGCCTCCTACCCCATGTCCTACGGCCAAGGTGGCGGCTACGGCCAGGGCTACCCGGCGGCCCCCTCCTCCTCCTACTTCGGCGGCGTGGAGTGCAGCTCCTACCTGGCGCCCATGCACTCCCACCACCACCCGCACCAGCTCAGCCCCATGGCGCCCTCCTCCATGGCCGGCCACCACCACCACCCGCTGGGCCAGGGCTCCGGCCACCACCACCACCATCACCACCACCAGGGCTACGGCAGCACGGGGCTGGCCTTCAACTCCCCCGACTGCCTGGACTACAAGGAGCCCGGCGCCGCCTCCTCCTGGAAACTCAACTTCAACTCCCCCGACTGCCTGGACTACAAGGACCAGGCCTCCTGGAGGTTCCAGGTCTTGTAGGCAGCGCCCGCCCGGCCCGGCCCGGCTCGGCCCGGCTCCCTGCGCCTGGCCCCGCTGGCCTTTTGCTACGTGAGAAACAATGGCCTTCCTCCTGGCCCAGCCTGCGCTGACCCCCAGCCTCGGGCTGGCCCCGCTGCTCCCTGCTCCGGAGCTGCCGTCGGTGTGTTTCACTCCCGGGCAGGACTGGGTCTCCATTTCCCATGGTCATCACTAGTAATCATTCATCATCCCCGACCAAGAGCCCCCCAGCCTCTGGCTCGGGGCTGCTGGCTGAGATCTGCTGCTGGACCCGCCCCAGTAACTTATTTATTCCGTCTCTGCACCCCGGGATTATTCCGTCCGGTGGGTTGATTTAACACCAAACACACAGCCCGGAAGAGGACTTCGGTGCGCCTCCCCTCCTCGATTTAAAAAGAAATGCGCTTTGGACACACAGACTCCCCTCTCCCCTCTCGAGAACTCCTTGTGTCAAGGGCAAGGCAGGGAGTGGAAACCTCCTGCACACCCTGCCCGCTGCAGACCCGGTGTACCGCTGTCTTTTTACTTCGGAGAGCTCTGGGCTCTCTCTCGGTAGGACTGTACAGCCTCTTGCCGCAGCAAGCAGCAGGAATGGTGTCCATATTCGGTCCGTTCCAGGGACCAGTATTATTTTGAGTTGATGTTACTGGGTTGCAATTTTGAGTTTTAACACGCAGGAAATTGAACTAAACAAAACTTCTCTCCTCCCCTTCCCCTTCAACAAATCTTCGCGTCAGGATTCCCAGCGCTGCATCTTTCCTCTCTTCGGGGTGCTCCTGCTTCTTAGGGCTAATCAAACCCACTCCAGGGAGAAGAGGCGGGGAGGGCAGGCGAGCTGGGATGGTGGTTTAGGGAACAGCTGTAATGGGGGGGAGGGGGAGCTGGGAAGGTTAGGAAGAGGGGGAGGAAAGGCTTGTCCAGCGGATCCGCAGTCCAGATCCCGTTTACAGACCAAAAAAGAAAAGGAGAAAAAAAATAGGGGAAAAAAAGTAAAAGGAAAAAAAAAGCAGCTCAAATTCCCTCCCTTTTAGCCCCCTCGGTTTGTCTAGTGAGTTTTAGTGCATCGGCCCTAGCCAGCCACGCCTGCGCATCTGTCTCAACGATGGGTTTTAACCGCTTTGTCCCTCGGTGGAAAAGGAATTTGTAAATTTGATTATTACACCGTAATCCAACACGTACCTGTTGAAATGTAAGGCAACTCCTCCCCCTTTATCTACATAGCCCTATAATAAAATTCAAACAAATGAAGCCCTTGTCTGTGTCATACTTCTGAAGTGGGGCCCCTTGGAAAAGTCTCTGGTAGCTTAAACTTCCGCGGAGCATGCGATGGCAGGGGCAGGCGGATTTTTATTTACCCAATGGGGGAGGGCGGACCTTTATTTCACTGAGCTGCCTTTTAATGGCCGTAATTGGATTGGCTTCCAATCAAAACTTTGGTGGGTTCTAGACAGGGAGACGGTATGAATGCTCCCCCCTGTTTGGCTTTTGGAAAAACACGAGAGTTAACCAGCACCGGCCCAATAGCTTGTTTGTCTCTAGCGAGACCCAGGAACATCTGAAGTCTGGCACGAAGTTGTCCCATCTTAATTGCCCATAGACTTCCCATTCAGCGCGGCTTGGTGCGCTCCGCCAAAACCGCCGGAGTCCGCGCAGCTCTGCCAAATTATCCTGTTTTATTTTAACGGACCTGTTGATCTAATCTCCCAGGAAGGGGTGGCCCAAACCGCTCTGGATTTTCGGAGTTGGGCTGGATTTCAAAGCTGGCCCAAGTTTACATGCGTTTAACCCTCTAAAAAATTACGAGGGTTGCAAGGAAACAAAAACAAAGCAAGGATCAAACAACCAAAAATCCCCCCCAAACCCTCTTGTCACAATGATCTAGACACCAAGTCTTTCCTCCCCCTCTCCTAGTTTCCAGAGCCTTATAACCGCATTTTGCCTGATTCGTATTTTAGCAGCTACCTGTGTTGAAACGAATTTTTTGTTTCAAAATAAAAATTAAACGCATCGCTTCATCTCTAAGAAGCGCAACCCCTTGGCTGTGGGCGTAGCTAGCAATTATCCCGCTGAGGGCGAGAAGAAGGCGTCTAGCTTTTAAAATATCGGCTGAGCGGCAGGAAGAAAAGTGGTTGCAGCGACACAACGAAACTTCAGCGCCTTTCCCCCATGCTCCAGAATTTTTCACCCAGGAAAGGGCAGCGACTGGTTCATCTTAATCCCTGGCAGGGCAAACGCCGGAGCGCGCTTGGTACTCGTACATTAGCCGTACATATGAATGCAACAAATAAAGGGGTCTGGATGCTGGCGGGGCTCAATCCAGGAGCGACGTCTGAATGTATTTACTGGGGAGCTTGGGGCCGGAGCGAGTTGTGCAACAAACGTTCAGTGTTTCGCTAAACGGCCCCTCGCCTCCTAGAGCTGCGAATTCAGCCAGGCCGCCGGCGCAATCAGTGTCCCGGCTGCCGCTATTAGCCCCTGATCTGCCCCCCCCCCAATCAGGGTGCTTGTGGCACCCTGGCGGTATTCCCCCCACCCTTGTGCCATGCACGCCCCAGGTGCTCCCTGGCTGCAGCCGCGGCCTGTGCACGCTCAGCGCTCACCTGGTGGCAGCGTTCCCCAGCCCGCCCCTCCCACCCAGCCCGCCCGGCACACGGACAGCGAGCTGAGCTCATCTTTAGGGAGCAGTGAAACAGGCTGCTTCTTAACCAGGACAGCACTTCGGTTATCTGCTGTCAGCAGCCGCCCCCTGCCAGGCTACCTTTGTCACGGGTTGGCTGTGCGCGCTGAGGCACTTTGCAAATGACAGAAACCACTCACCCCCCTTTGAAAAAGGCTGTCCCTTGTTGGGCCGGGCAAGCCCCGAACCGTCTGCGCTAGAGCCGGCCGGCCCCATCCCGCTAAGTGCTGGCCAAAGGGTGGATATTATTGGGGATTAAACAGCCATCGAAAGTAAGTGTCGGGCTTCTGCGCGCCCAGGAATCATGGTGCCTGTTCCCTAAACCCGGCGGTATCCTGGCGGGCTCCAGTCCAGCCACAGGGACACAACCAGGACATTTGCGCCTTAACAGGATGAGCGGCCTCCTCCCCTGCCCCAAACGCCCTCTTTGGGATAGTTACACTTGGTCCGATCTGTTGGAAACTTGCCCGAGTTGGACTCAGAGGTAAAGAGCGGGAGTTACTGGGCGATGGTTGTTGCATTGAGAGGAAAGTTGCCATCTCGCCCTTGGGTGCGGGAACAATTTGTGCCAGGGGTGGGGGGTGCTGAGAGCCTCTGACACAAACTGCAAACCCTGTCTGTGATGGGAAGCGCTTCCAGCCAGTCCCACCGCCCACGGTCTCGCCCTGTGCAGTGACTCGCTGGGGTGCAGGTCCCAGGGAAATGGATCAAAGACAAATCTAGGATTCAAGCCACATCTTTCTCTCCCGCCACATTGCCCGGGGGGCGGAGGAGTCCGTGTCAAACTGGATCCGAGACCATGGACCGGAGCTGGGAGGGGGACAATGATCATTACGCGATGCGTCCCCCTGGGTGCCAGGCCCACGTGCACGTGGGAAGCCGGCCGCCGGCCTGGGGTTAATGCCGCTGGGTTAAGCAGCGGGGGCTAGTTTGCTGGCACCGTCTCGGGGCCCGTGATTGGCGAGGGGCGGAGCTGCCAGGCCGGGGTCCGGCTCCGTGGCACACGCTCCGAGATCCCGCCCTCCGGCCTTGCACAACTCGCTCCCCTGCCATTGCCACATTGCATCACGGGGAGATTGACTCGGCTGCGCAACAGCCAGCGAAGATGTCACCTTCCCCTCTCAGCCTTGTGATTATTGTTATTGTTACTTATTGAGCAGATGTTGCAAGGAGATACGTCTCTGGGCAAAAGCGAAGCGTAACCATCGCGGCACAAACAGTCACTTAATTAAAATTCTTGCGGTTAAGGCACCCACCCATGCAATCACCTGAGGGGAAGCAACTACAGCCCAGAAGGCCCATCGGGAAAAAGGGCAGGAGAGCAACCAAGATGTGCCGAGCAGGGCTTGGGCCTGTCTAGGAGAAGCCGCCCGAAGTCCCTCTGCGTGGGGACTGTCGGGGTGTGGGGTACACGGAGGGGCTCCCGAGCATTATCCACAGGGCTCTGGTCGGCCGCCCGCACCTTTCATCCGGACTCCGAGCGGCTCATTCGTATGACCTTCTACAAAAGTACTTTAAAGTAGCCTCATGTTTCAGAGGCGTCCCTCCACCCTCCGCTCAGGCTTTGGTGCCAAGGTGTTGCAGCAGGTAGAGCACCTGTGGGAAACTCCAGGAGCCCCCTGCAACCCCCTCGAGGCACAACCGCCTTTGGGGGCAGCGCGGCTCCGGAACTACAGGTCCTTTGGCATGGTTTGATTTCCCCTTACATAAGCACTTCAAACAAAGGCCTCCCTGGAAAGTCCTGGCACCGTCCCTGTCTCAACGCGAATCGCTGGCTCCGAGCACCAGGATGGGTGCAGAAGGAAGAGCTACAATTGCCGAATGCAGCTAGCGAATGCAGGCTGTGGAGTGCGGACAGCGGTACCCCGCACCGCGGTCAGTGATACTCCGCACTGCGGACAATGGTACCCCGCACCGCGGTCAGTGATAC